CAACTGTATGTGTGGTGTTTTGATAAGAGTTTACAATGTACAACAATCAAATCAGGGTAATCAGGGTATCCATCACTTTGAGCATTTGTCATTTCTTTCTGTTAGGAATATTTCAATTCCACTCTATTATTTTTAAGTACATGCACAACAAGTTATTGTTAGCTATAGTCCCCCTATTGTCCTTCCAATACTAAATCTTGTTTGTTCTATCTAACCATATTTTTGTACCCATTAACCATCCCCACTTTAATCCCCCACCCACCACTGTCCTTCCCAATTTCTGGTAACCAGCATGCTACTTTCCATCTCCATGAGATCAATTTTTAAAAATGTTTTAGCTCCCATTTATGAATGAGAACATGCAAAATTTGTCTTTCTGTGCCTGGCTTCTTTTACTTCACATAATGTACTTCAGTTTAATCCCATTTTAGTCTAAAATTTGCTTGTACGCATTCACCAGATGGTGAGGGGGAGTGCTTCAAAGGTGATAGTCAGCAATGAGGTAGGTAGCACTTTTTCCAGGAGGAGTTCGGAAACGTAATTGAAGACAGCGCTGATGGCCATTCTGGAGAAAGAGTCCCAAAACTGCTTTCAAGGGTGGCATCAGGGCAAAGCTTCATGTTTTTGCAAATGACGGGATTGCATTCTTTTGTGTGGCTGAATAATATTCCACTGTGTCTGTGTACCCCATTTTCTTTATCTCTTTACCCAGGGTTGAACTTGGGTCGATTCTGTACTCTGACTACTGGCAGTGCAAGTGTCTCTTCAACGCACTGATTGCCTTTGTTTTGGATACGTGCCTAGCAGTGGGATTGCTGGGTCCTACGGTAGTTCTATTTTTTTAAGCTTTTTGAGGACCCTCTCTATTGTTCTCCCCAGTGACTGTACTGACCTACACTCCCATCTGGTCACTTTCAAGCATAAATGAGACTAGATACATTCCTTCACAGCTGCTTGGTCTGGTCCAGTCTGAGAGAGAGCTCTTTCTTCATTTAGGATCCACTCCACCCATCCTGATTTGAGCGCTAAATCACGCTGGTCAGACTGAGGCGCCAAACGACTTTGGGTTGACATCACTGCTGGGCACGTGCAGCCTCCATTTCTTTGTCTGTATTTCAGTAACATTTATAAAAACACAAAAAAGGAGAGCTCAGCTAGCTGAGGTGACGAGGGTCCTATGTGGGGGTTCCAGGCAATAAAAGTTGGTGCTTATAGTGGGGAAGGTTGATCTTAGGGTATGACATCTAGAAGGACACAGGAGGACAGGGACAGGACTCGGGTCCAGGGAAAAAGCAGGATCCTGCTCCAGGATCAGGGCAGGGTTGAGGGTATGTGGGGTGAGTATTCTCTCGGAGGCAAAGAGGCACAGAGAGGGGGAGTAGTCTGTGTGGTCTTAAGGCATATGGGAGTCCTTGAGTGATTCTGGAAAGCTATGGTCGTGAGGAGGCAGAGGTCCTTGGTTGTTAATATAAAACACACTATTTTAAATTTAAAGCGTGTATTTATTTCTCAGCCAACACCTAATCTCATCTTGGCTTTTGTCCAGTGGCTTTCAAACTTCTGCACTGAGATCCCCAGAGAGAAATAAGTCTTACATTGCAACCCATGACATACATCTATGCATTCTCAACTCAAATCCACGTTCCACCGAACCCTTTGATTGGTATTATATGGGAGACCCTCTCAGACTCGCCTTGCCTTTCCTTGCAATCCCTTTGTTTTACTTGTCTGGCATTTCTTGTTTTCTTTTCTTTTCTTTTCTTTTTTTTTTTTCTTCGGGCTAGTCAAGAAAAGCAGTGAGAATGGAAGAGTTTGTAACTGATTGTGATCAATTAGCTGTAAACCCCAATGCACTGAGCCCAGTCTTTTCTTAACATTTCTAGAGCTGCAGATTGTGGCCCACCAAAATCATGAGTTCTAGTGAATTGCAACCTGCATATTGAAACCACATTTTCTTTCCAGTCAGAAGTTCAGTGGCCGCTCAGGGCTGCAGAGCTCCTTCTAACGGCTGTGGCTGCCCCTGCACCAGCGCCTTGCCCATCACAGCCCCAGCTTTGCTATTCCACCTTCTCCCTCCTCTTGTCCCTTTCCCCTCACTTGTACCAGCCAGCCCCTCTCAGCTCATCCTCCCTTTTCCTCCTACTTGCTCTCAGTTTTGGACAGATGATCCAAAAAAGCATTTTCCCCAATACTGGGAGCATATCTAGAAAGCATCTCACCAGCGGCGAGATGACTTCAGGGACACACAGATGAACACCTTACTCTTTTCACAGTTACATCTTCCTTTTGATTCACAAGTGATGCTGAGTTTCTCTTTAGAATAATTTAAACTAATTATGTTACAGGAAGACAAGGCCCAATGGAGAGAAAGAGCACCCAAACACCATGTTTATAAGAGGAAGGGCTTGATTTACCGGCCGAAAGCTTATGGCATAGAATTCCAAATAGCCGCGCTCCCCGACTGGCTTGGTCTTTCCTTTTTTTATCCACAGTCAAAAAGTTCCACCCCACAGGTACCCTTCTCATTGGCCAGTTTGAATCAAGCAGGAGATGCTATTCCAGCCCCTACAGAACTATAGGATTTTACTTGGAAATTCCCAAATGCCAGAAAGTTAAGTTTGCAAATTCCCAAGAACTGAGTCACCATGAAGAGCACCCCGCAGGTGTATCCTTGTGGTGTCCTGGAGAAGACCTATTCTCCTAGACCTCACCCTTCTCGAGTATCCTCTCTCAATTACAACTAAACTTTACCAAGCATTTGCTGCGTGTCAGGCACTATTTTAAGAACTTCACGTGCATGAGCTTATTTAGTCCCCATGACACTCCCATAAAGGAGTTACTATTATTATCACTATTATACAGATGACAAAAACTGGGGCACGGGGAGGTTAACTTGCTCAACATCGCTCAGCTAGTAAGCAGGCAGTGATTTTCAATCAGTGGGCCGTGAGAGGATCTTAAGTGTGCCATGAACATTTTTAAAGATCATTAATTAAATTATTTTCCAAAGGAGTTCAAAATACAGTAAGTATATTCTTTATTTTCACTCTTTTTTTCTTTTTTGATCAAGATAAGTTAAGTGTGCTGGGAAGGTCTAACTAGAGGTTCAAGTGTGCTGTGAAATAAAAAGAGGTTAAAGAAACACTGAAGTAAAGAACCAGGCAGTCCAGCTCCTCCCACGAAAGTCTACTCTAGAAACAGCTTGAATTCAAATTCTAGTTCTACCACTTTCTAGAGGTGTGACGGCAAGTTATTTAATCTTCCTGGGTCTCCGTTTCTGTATCTCTGCCTCAGTTTCCTCACTGAACCTAACACACTATCAATTTGGGTAATCACGATGAAAGATTTAAAGGTATAAATTTAGCCATAACTTGCACGCTTTCTTATCAATTATGTACCCTGCTAACAGAGAATGTTAAAATATAAAAAAAAATGAACATCATAGAATCAATGAAATACACTCCTACCACCTACCTCACACCATTGACAAGGAGGGTAAATGAATCAAGCATTTATTTTGGTGGCTGGCACACAAGCTGTCCTTAATAGATGTTGGCTATTCTGGCTGTTAACATAGTTGTGCCTGTTTAAGGCAAGGAACAGAAGCACAGAGAGATTAAATTCTCAGGCTGTCCTGGTAGCAAGCTGCTGCCCCCAGGTCCAGTTGCCTTGCTCTGCATTGGCGAGGCCTGGCTTGCTCTGGGCACCAGATCAGGGTGCTTCCTCCTTGCTTGTGCTGCCTTCATCAAGAACTACGGGGCTGATTTGCTTGAAGATCTCCCAGTATTTGCCTTTCCTGTTTCGAAAGAGTCCTGAAGGTCATAGCCTCGAACCACATTCCTCGCATTCCCAGGGGAGTGTCTAGACTTTCTGACTCAAGGCAAATTACCAAATGCATAAATGCCCATTCCACTTAATGACTTGACTTCCACTTTTCACAGACACTCGGATGTGACCAGAAATAGCCCCGACCCTGCAATCTTTCATAGAGCTGAGATAAATTAAGTGGGCAGTGCTGCTCCGTAATTCCCCTCCTGGGCACTTACTGTTGATGCACGGCCCTCCCCTCTTTCCTGCTAGAACAGATGCTTGAAAAAAAAACATCGTTTGACTGTGAAAAAGGAAAAATCGCCAAAACGTGGATTTCCATTCCCGAGCTTCCATTCTTGGGGCTGCTGCTGCTATTTCCCCCCTTAAACACACATACCCCTGCATGTATGCTCGTGCACGTATCCCTGTACTCCCCATCCTCACATGAATATTGCATGCGTGTGGGTTTTCTGCCTTGTATTTTTAATATCTTTACTCCGTAACTATGGCTTTGAGGTCATTATTTCTCATTTTCTTAATGTATACCAAAAGTAGCATTTGCACCTCAGGCTGGCAATAGGTTCCTTGGGAGGCAATCCAGAAAGGACAGATTTGGTAATAGGTAGATGACAAAGCTGCAGGACACTTGCTTAATCTATGGTGTCTTTGGCAGGCTGCCCTAGATGGAACTCTGTCCTCTGGGAACGCAGACATTGGATGTAGTAAGCGATGACTTACACACGAAAGGACAAAAGCTTTGTTGTAGAGAGAGCACTAGGTCTTAGGTGATAACTTAGTGCCTTAGATTCTTGCATTAGAACAAAGGTTAAATCTGACACTATTAATTGCAGGGTTTCCAGATAATTATTTACTCTTTTACCCCGTAAGGACTGATTATATTCCCAGAGAAAAGCTCCCTGGGGTGAGCTTTTCTTAACTTGTCATCGCCTTCTATCCTTGGGGACAGCACAAAAGTAAGGCACAGTGCAGTTCCCACCAGACATTTATTTCCTCCCGCCTTCTCATCAAGATGACAAGTGCTTGAGCGCACGTTGAGAGCGAGGATTGTCCTCTAGAGGGAGCTCTAGAGGGAGAGATGAACACATAACCCTGAAAGCTCAATGCTCAGTATTGTCTGTAGCTTCCTGTGAGTTCTGAATTTTATTTGTTTTTATTTTTTTTCTTATAGTTCTCAGATATTAGATTTCTTCAGCAGATCTCAGGTCAAAGTGAAGAAATGTCAGTCATCATGTACAATGAGTTCTGAATTTTAATACTTTAAAGAAAGAAACCATGACCCTTTCTGGGGACCCTGATTCTTTTCTCTGGGGCTGAATTGTCTCCTGGCAGCTGTGTTGCAGCTGGCCTCCCTCCGCTGTTGACCAGCCACAGGGAACCTCAGGAGGGGACATACTTTTTCCTTGGCTCTGTCCTCCAAATTGCGACACAGGCCCTCTAGCTCTTAGAACAAGTGTCTGTTCTTAGAGTGGCAGGTGGTGGCTGGCACCCGTCTGCCCAACAAATGACCTCTCTGAGGTCACAGTGAGCTTGCTCCCCAGTAGCGGGAATTAATAGCCTTCTCCACTTCTGGGAGGAGAAGCCCAAAGCTCTCTCCCAAGTCCAAGAAGGAAGGCATGATATTTTTTCCCAAGGAAAAAAGAGCATTACATTGCCTTATAGATGCAAATCTAGAAGGGTCCCCCAAAGGGGCTTTCCAATCCAAGGGGCAACTTTAACTCTCCACCTACAAAGACATTTTTCTTCTCAATTTTTTTTACTGTGGTAAAATACATACAACATAAAACCATTTTAACCATTGAAAATGATCTAGGTCAGGAGGATTCAATACATTGATAATGCTGAGCAACCATCACCTCCATCATCTCCCTACCTCTTTTCATCTAGTGAAAGTGAAACTCTATACCTATTAAACCACTCCCCATCCCCTCTCCCTCCACCCCCTGGCAACCACCGTTCTGCTTTCTGTCTCCGCGGTTCTGACAAAATGTATCTTTTTGTGACTGGCTTATTTCACTTAGCATAATGTCCTCATATGTTGTAGCCTGTGTCAGAATGTCCTTTCTTAAGACAGAATGACACTCCATTGTGTGTATATGTTCGTCTGTCAATGGATACTTGCCAAAGATACCTTTTTCATGGAATTTTTTTCTAGTTTCAGAATTCTGAAGATCCATTCTACTTCAGGAAATCCCATTCTACATATGTGTTTTGAAATAATTGAATACCTCCTTAAAATTTACACTTTTTACTTAATATATTGTCTGCATATTTCCTTATCATCCAGTATTTTTCTGTTACCTGATTTTCATGGATTGTTTAGTGTCTCACTATGATGTACCAGACAGAACAGGGTGAGTTTAGCTGTTACAACAAACATGCTAAAGGTCTCAGTGATATGAAACAACAATTTTTAGTTTCTTATTCACTCTCTGTACCTACTGCAGATCAACTAGGGCTCTGTTCTATATTATTCTCACTTCAAGACCTGGGCAGAAGAAAAAGAGGAAAAAATTATACACTGGTGATTGAAGTTTCTGCCTGGATGCCACATTGTATTTCCTTTCACATTTCTTTGGCTAACGCCAATCACATGACCTCACTTAACATAAAGTGGGAAAAATGTAATCCTACCATGTGTCCAGGAGGAAGAAAATATTTGGTGCACAACATTAATTATTATTATATATGGATATAATATAATAAAACAAATTTCCTGGTTTTGGACATGTAAGTTTTTTCCATTTTTTCCTTAAGCTGAATAATCTTACAGATGCATATTTCTTTAAGATGTCAAAAGGCCTACAAAAAATTTCAGGTGTTAAAAATCCTCAAAGAAAGAATAGGAAAAACACTGGAAGATATTGGCCTGGGGAAAGACTTTATGAAGAAGACTGCCATGGCAATAGCAATAATAAACAAATGGGATTTAATTTAATGAAACTGAAAGCTTCTGTACAGCCAAGCAGACAACAACCAAAGCAAATAGACAACCTACCCAATGGGAAAGGATATTTGCATATTTTGAATCAGACAAAAGCTTAATAACTAGGATCTATACAGAACTTAAATTAATCCACAAGAAAAAAACCAACAATCCCGTACATCAATGGAGAAGAGAGATGAACAGAACCTTCCCTACAGATGAATGGCTAGCAAACACATGAAAAAATGCTCATCATCCCTAATTATTAGAGAAATGCAAATTAAAACCACCCTGAGATATCACCTAACCCCAGCCAGAATGGCCATTTCACAAATCTTAAAACTGCAGATGCTGGCATGGATATGGAGAGAAAGGAACACTTTTATACAGCTGGTGGGACTGCAAATTAATACAACCTTTTTGGAAGGAAGTATGGAGAAACCTCAAAGAACTCAACCTAGACCTCCCATTTGATCCTGCAATCCCATTACTGGGCATCTATCCAGAAGGAAAAAAAAAAACTTTTATTATAAAGACACTTGTACTAGACTGTTTATCGCAGCTCAATTTACAATTGCTAAAATATGGAAACAGCCTAAATGCCCTTCAACCCAGGAATGGACTGGCAAGCTGTGGTATATGTATATCATGGAATACTATTCAGCCATTAAAAAAATGGAGATTTTGCATTTGTATTAACCTGGATGGAAGTGGAACACATTATTCTTAGTGAAGCATCACAGGAATGAAAAAGTATGAATCCTATATATTCAACTTTGATATGAAGACAATTAATGACATGGTGGGGCATGGGGAAGGGGAGAGCAGACAGAGAAGGAGAGAGAGGGTGAGGAAAAGGAAGAGAAAAAAAGAAGAAAATAATGACTAATTCTCACATAAATTGGATTTAATTTTGACCAAAGTATAATACTTAAACATTCATTTTTAATTCAATTTGTTAATATGTTGTTTCAGGTATTGCATCCTCACTTATAAATGAAATATGTTTGTAATTTCCTCTGTATAATTTTTTCCAATCTTAGTATCAGGTGTATCCAGATGAAGTAGAATGATTTTGAAGTATTTCTTCTTTTTCTATTGTCTATAAGATTTGGCATGATCTGTTTTCTGAAACTATCTTTTATTTTTATTTATAAATATTAGTTGTCTATTTTTTGAGACTTTGGGAAAAAAATAATAAGAAGTTAACTGCTGACTCCATACTGAACCTCAGAGTCAAAGCATTCTATAATAGACATACTCTTATTTGACAATGTGAATGTTACTTTTTTTGCATTATTATTATTATTATTAGTGCTCAATATTTCATTGCAGCAATCATCTGATTTCTTTTCTGAATGTATTTATCTTCATTCGTTCTTTACAAGGTTTTTGTTTCTAGTCCTTTTGTGAAGGCAAAAACTGGAAACCAAATAAACACATGTATACGTAAAAAAAAAATTTCAGGTGTTAGTGAAGCTAGCCATTTATGCTGAGTTGGTGCAAATCTTAAACAAATTATAAGACTCAAGCAGTAATATAGATTTGAATCTTGGCATCCAGCATTGTTCCAGATATCAATAATCCAAAGTAAAAAGGCAATAGAAGTCAAAATATCTAAATTCGCTTCCTAGATTGCCTAAAATCTGTTTATCTAGTATTTTGTTGTTGTTGTTAGTAATGAATCTCCCTTACATTTTATAAGAAGATTCCCAGCATTATCAGGTCTAGCTAAAAACTACCAGTTTGCAAATTATTCATCACTTGTTGCTCCTAATGTTGAATCTATGCATTCAAGGCTTTGGATGACTAAGTGAGCACATGTGGTTTGAGGTCCTATTTCTTCATCTTTTCCAGAGATCTCACATGAAAACTTACTCAGACACCCAGGTACGTATTACTTCTCGCTTTGAATAAGTCCATATACAGCTGACCATACCCTCCACATCCAGTGATGGTGAACTCATGTTAACAAATAACGGGGTTATAGCCAACATTAGCTATAGTAGCCAAGGGGTTGGCTACTGTCCAAGGTAAATCAAGATGCCAAGAAGGTAAGAATATAAAACATCTTAACAAAATCAAATTCTTAGCAAAGTATCACAGGAATGGAAGAAAAAATATCCAATGTACACAGCCCTTCTATGAAACTAATATATACTTCTCAAATGAAAGAAACAACTTAATTCTAGCCCAAGAATATGGAGAGGGGGTGGGGAAGGGGAGGGGAGAAGGGTGGCTGGGTGGTGGGAGGGTGACCGGAAAGATCTCCTATATTTCTGTCTAACAAGGGTACAAGTGAACTTTTCTAGAACTAGAATGTAAATGTTTTGACACAAGGACTATGCAAATGACATGAAATTTATGTGAACCATCTTGATGAAAGTATTTCAAAATGTATATGAAAACACTACACTGTACCACATGTTT